TCTTAATCATAACCAATAATGCTTTAATTTTATTAAGTGTACATGCATTATCAGTATTGAATTCAGGGTCATCACTTTTGGCCAAGAAAAAATCCGACTAGAAATATTTTATTATAATTACATGCCCAAGGCTGAATACAAACTGTAATACACATTCGACGCCAGGATGCAGGTTTCCTGACAACGTTTTCCTTTATCATAAATCGTGATCGAGATGTGTAACACTGAATTAATAGTGATAGGAAGGAAAAATCGATCGTTGCAAAGGACGCTATTACAGTAACGGATAGAGTGGAACTTGTGTTACTTGCAAGGACAACGCATCGTTAGGAAGTCATGCAACTTTTTAAGTGTGGGAGAGCCATGCTTCGGCACGTATGGGTCGGCTCGACCGGAGTGATACCACGGCCTCACAGAAGACCGGCGTGAAACAACCACAGCGTTGTGTTTCGCCGTGTGAGTGAGGTTACCGGAGGCCCAATCCGTCCCCGCCCTCAATCCCTCCTCAATCCTTAAATCTCCATATCCCTAATCTCTAAAAGGTCGCCAACGCACTCGTAACTCCTCCGTTGCGGGTGTCCATGGAAGGCGGTGATTGCTTACCATCAGGTAATCAGTCTGCTCGTTTGCCGACCAATTACATAAAAAAAAACTATCATTCATCACTGCCCAGTATAAAACAAAGTCGCTTTCTCTGTACCTATCTATATCCCTATGTATGCTTACATCTTTAAAACTACGCAACGGATTTTGATGCAGTGTTTTTAACTAGATAAGCGATTGAGGAGTTTTCAATAGTGGTGAAACTTTGTTATCAGCATTTCACCCATGCATTTCAGGGCGGGTCGCTGTTTTTTTCATACATGAGAATTAAATGATACAGTGAGTATTTTATTAATTAATCATGATGAAGGTTGTGGTCGCTCGGAGGTTAAGCATGAAGCATCCCCGTGATTAAGGATTCTCAAGCATAAGGGGTACAAAACCTGGTAAATACCAATATGAGTTTTTCCGAGATATATGAACTTTATAACGCTTGCACAAACGGTAAAGGGAAACATCAGAAAGGAAACCCGGACTTACAATTTCTTGTTATAAATTTGAAATCACAAATCGACCTGAAGCAAGCGACAAATTGTTGTTCCATGTCTGGGTGTGATGTGTATGTCAAATTGTATGTTTGTAACCGCACCTACGACAAAGGAGAGGGTAGGGCGTCGTTTTTTTAAATGTTCTAAACTTCTCCGTGTGTGAAGACGCTTATGTTCAGCAGTGGCCACTTATATGCAGAAGATATTCGAACGGCCTGATGGATTTGAACAAAAATTAGCGCAAGGGTAGCTTGTAATTTAGCACAATAGAATAGTACTTTGAATCCATCATACGCGTAAAGTCTCAGCTGAACAACAAACTTGTGACAAGAAGTCGTCGTCATGGCTATACATCATAATTCCGTCCTTTATATCGAGAGAACAGACAGACGTCAGAAGAAATGAGTAGTCACACAGTCATGCGCCATAGTTTACAATTCGCGCCGGAACAGTGCAAACACACTACTTATTACTACTTACTTATACATTAGTATGAGAATAACAGTATAACAGTATCGTGACACGGTCATCGGGATGATTGCTATCATTTGCCGTCTTTTGCGGATATCGCACCTTAACGTTACCTGGCCCATAAAGTTTTACATAAAAAAAGACTACCTTATCCGTGTTAAACAAACCTTTAACAATTAATAATAAGAATTTTGCCTATTAACCCACTAAAGAAAATGGTCACTGCTTTCTCATTTCTTTAATATTCTTAGGAGTCGATGAATCATTTAATTGATTTACACTATCTGGGATCAAAGTGTTAAAATTTCATCGCAATACGTTCTGTAGTTAAAGTCAAATTCACAATCATTTATTCCAAGTTCCAACTAAACTATAAATAGGTACTTTTGAAACGTCAAAATATAGAAGTAGTCTGTCAGTCAGCTCGTCAGTGAAGCTAGGTGCTCATTCCAAATTGTAGATTCGAATGGAAAGAACGAGAAAGAAATTACATCGTTACTCTTTAAAAAAATGATTTACAATTTGAATAATATAACATTTAGTTATGATAACATTACTGACACACGAAAAGGTGCATTAATCGGCTATAGCACGGGCATGACTCTGAAAAATTGTTGGGTTTGATTCCCGCCGCATCTTTTCCCATATCGACTTACGCGAAAACAATTGTATCCCCATCATATGGATGGTTGGCAGTCAAAAACTGTAAGATTTTTGCGAAACTTCGGCATGAATGGGTCGGCTTGACCGGAACGATGCCACGGCCTCACAGAAAACCGGCGTGAAATAACCACAGAGTTGCGTTTCGCCGTGTGAATGAGGTTACCAAAGGCCCAATCTTTCCCCTACCCCAATCCGTTCCCTTTCCCAAAATCACCAAATCCTTAGTCTCCAAAAGGTCGGCAACGCACTCGTAACAGCTCCGTCGTTGCGGGGCTCCATGAGCGACACTGATTGCTTACCATCAGGTAATCCCTATGCTCGTCGTCTCGACGTCGTAGACGACCTAACACATAAAAAAAATTGGAAAATGCTTGAGATTTTAAGTTTCATTCATTAAGGTCCTCCTACTTGTAAAAAGAGATCTTCTCCAGATCTAGGACAGATGATTACGTTAATGATCAAGAAATATGTCAGCAAAGCAACATCACAATATCTAATTATCTATCTACACGCGTGTTTATGTGACCGTGGCCTGACATTGAAAATATCTTCACATCTTTAAATAAATCGCATTTGTCTTTAAATCATAGTATGTTATTTTAATTATACTGACTTATTCAACCACTTGTCTATGGATTAAATTGATAGTGTCATTTGGTTTTGCATTAACTTAATCTATACTTAATATTATAAAGCTATAGAGTTTTTTGTTTGTTTGTTTGTTTTGTTTGAACGCGCTATTCTTCGGAACTACTGGTTCGAATTCTATTTGTATTTGTTTTGTCGATTTTTCGACGAAGTCTATAAAGCATCACGCTACGATCTGTAGGAGTATTGGGTGGAACAGCGCGATAAGCGAGTATTAGATAAATAGGAAAATTATTTATCGGTTGTGACAAAATAGTGAAAGATCAAGTGATAAATTAAGAGCCGATTAGCTGAAAGTTTGTAGTGGAATGTGTGGTGGACCTTTCTGTTATATTTAATTATATTAACTGATTTGGATAAGTGAAAATATTTGCCTTGCACATAAACTTCTATCCGACTAATATTATTTACGCGAAAATTGATGATAGATGTTTCTTACACTTTAAACTACTGAACGAAATAAAATGAAATTAGTCACAGAGATAGATTATAGCTTGGAATAACACACAGCCTTTTTACCCTACTGTTAACTTAACAGTTAAAAAATATAATTAAGCATTTCGATTACGAATTTATAAATCCCTTTCGCTCTTATAAACAACAAACTCTTTTTTATGACAACAACAATGAAAATGTTTGAAAAAATTACACAAGAATTACGCCATTAAAAATAAACACTCGAAAATGACTGTACATTCAACTTAGTCGCGTGTGACGTCAAAGGAAACATGGCCGCCTACTTAGGCGCAATGAAACTCAATCCGTTTAGTTACTCCGTAAGTTCACTGAGGTTATAAGAATTTGTTATAGGAATGATTCATTACTGTTTTTAGAAGCCATTATTACAATATTAATAATATTGTTCGGCAACCATTTATTGCTAATTTACTGGCGGTAAAGTTAAGTAAACCATTATCGTGCGTAGGTAATCAAGTTACCTTGTAGTATTTTGTTTTTTGACATTTAGTAATATTATCTTACTAACATTATAAGCGCGAAAGTTTTGAAATATGGATGGATGTTAGTTAGGTACTCTTTTATGTAAAACTACTGAATGGAACAGAATGTTTTTTTTAAAACAAAGATAGATTAATAGTTTGGAATAACACATACATAGTTTGCTTTACATATTGGCACTACTGGCGAAGCCGCTGTGAGAACTAGTTAAGTATAATATCTGGAAATGTCAATACTATTAGAATTAGGGTTTTGGAATCTGGTGATCAAACGGAGGCTTTTTTTAAGATAGGAAAATGATCAAGTTACTTATCCCGACCTGGGTGAGGAGCAGTAGCTTCAGACTCTAACTGATTAAAAATCTCACCGTTTTTACCTGAGCCAGGGCCGCGGTAAATTATTGCGCTTACATTGGCAACCCTGGCTGCACATCAGCCATATTGGGAGCAAAAGGTAAATTTTCTCAACAGATAAATTTTGCTAATCTAGCAGAAGCTTGGCTTATCCCTAATTTATCACCCAATAGTAAGATCTAAGCCAGCTAATTCTTAATTGGACGAAAAAATTAGAAGATCCATACTATTACCACATGGTAATCGAAAATCGGTAGCTCCCATTACAAAGGTACAACTAAAGATGCAGCTACGGTAAAAACTTGCGCTATGATAATGAACAAAACTACCGGTTGAAACCTAGATCAATGTATATTACACATTATCTGAAATGGTTGGTAGGTATACCTAAGTCTACTGGTTACAATCACCATTTTTCATATGAATGTTATCGAACCCAAAAAAACAATAACAGGAAGCAACACAGTTAACGTTAAGAATTCCACTCAAAAATTCAGCTTATTGTCTTTATATTTACAAAATGTTAATTGCGTATGTAAACAAATTTAATATTGTTTAGGGCTAAGAAACTTAATTAGTTGATTTGAAAAGACGAAAACTTAAAATTCTCTGAACGGGTTTCTTAAATTATGTGACTGCAAATCTGAAAAACAGCGAGAGGCTTTTATTTAAAAGCGAACTTTTTCTTTAGGCTGAGACATAAATTATCAAGACGAAAAATCAATGTGTCTCTAACCTACTAAACAGGTAAACAAAAAATAAAGGAACTCCTGTAAGCAGAAGGGCTTAAATTTTTGTCTTTAAATATGGAACTTACTTTGTAAAATTAAAGTTATTTGAGGCTAAGATCTCTGCTAGCGAGCCCCATAGCGTCCTGTGCAGCTCCCGAACAGGAGCTCCCCACCAGCTCGCGTGCCAGTACCTCACTGTAGAGGATACGCAGCAGTTTACACCTGTAACAAACATTCTTTCTATTAGAATAATTCAAAATGTATAGTGACAATCAAATATGCACTGGCGAAGAAAGAGAGGTTACTGTCTTATCATGAAAACTATTGAATCCTTTTACCGGTACACCACTACCTCACCGAAAACCGGCACGAAACAACCACATTGTTTCGCCGTGTCCGCCCCAGGCCCCATCCTTCCCTGACGTTTAAATCCGAATCTTAATCCCCAAAAGGCCGAAAACGACTCGTAACTCCTCTTGCTGTTGCGGATGTCCATGGGCGACGTCGATAATAAACATTTATACCAAAAAAATTAATAAATGCCTACACATTTGTATATATTTTCTCAAAGGAAATGCTAGAAGCGTGGTTAGAGTATGGTAAAGTTTGACTTAATTAATTCCATATAATAACATTAATAAATACAAGTAAATCATAGACGAGGTAGATAACTAGTTTCAAGTGGAGGAGTGACCATTCGAGACAAAGAAGAATGCGTTTTGTAGTATCAAAATTCGAGACGCATCATAACGGGTTGTTAATCCACTGCTAAAAGCTGTTAATTTGAGTCAATGAAGTAATACTATATCGTGAGAATGAGCTTTCAACAAGCTGCAAATTACCAGTTTCCTAATTAACAGATCTCTGAGAGACGTTGAAATAAATATCTTAGTACTTATATACATATTCCCGTAGCTTCCACCCGCGAGTTATTTTAATAAAAATCAACCTATTTGTTAATCCAGGATAGGTATCACCTATCTACATAACAAATTTCAACCAAATCGGTCCATCCGTTTTTGCGTGAAAGAATAATAAACCTACATCCCATACATTCTTACAAACTTTCACATCTAAACTAATATTATAAAGAGGTAAAATTTCTAAGTTTGTAAGTTTGTATGTAGGGGGTAATCTTTGGAACCGCTGGACGGATTGTCAAAATTCTTTCACTGATAGGTAGCTGCAATGTTCCTGAGTGCTTTAGGCTATAAAACATCACGCTACGATCAAATGGAGCCGAGCAGCGGGTGAAACCGCGCGACATTAGCTAGTTTATAATATTAGTAGGATTTATGTGATACGGCGGTTAACGACCTTACCTATAACCTGATGATAGGCAATCAGCACCGCCCATGGACACCAGCAGCAACAGACTGTAAGTGAGTTGCCAGTTCTGGAGTTTTAGGGATTTAGGGATTGGGGATAGGCAGAATTGACCTTCCAGTAACCTCACTCATAAGGCGAAATAAAACGCTGTGGCTATTTCATGCTGTTTTTTCTATAAGGCAGTGGTATCACTCCGATAGAGTCCGCGGCGTTCGTAGCGAAGAATTGCTCTCCCACACTAATTAACACAGTTCACTTAACAGCTTGTACTGAAGACATTTGAGTACACAACATTTAACTTTCATGATTCATTTTTTCACTAAATACGTAATTACGTACATAATAATTGGCCAATCTTATCTTCCTGGGTTGACTAAAATGTCTGGTTTGTTTACAAGAATTTTGCGTAGGAGAACTGACTGAGATCAGCAACCGATTAATGAAGTCGTACTCCCAAATACGAGCATAAGGAACTCCTTATAAAAACCGAATATATTGCCAATATAATTGGTTATATTGTTGGTAAATTTTATGCATACCTACTTCCTTATCCGAGTAGTCAGATAGGAAAGGCCAGCCTCTAAGAAAGTTGTATTTATAAGGATAACGTACATTCATTATTTCATATATGACGTCACAAATTATCCATAAAAAATGTCTGTATGGCATGAATGGGTCGGCTCGACCGGAGTGATACCACAGAGCTTCACAACAAACCGGCGTGAAACAACCATACCTAGCGTTATTTCGCCGTGTGAGTTAGGTTACCTGAAGCCTAACTAAACGCGTTAATGCAGGCGAAGCCACTGTTATAAACTAGTAGTACTAGGTAATCCGTCAGCTCGTTCGCCGACTTATACCATAAAAAAACCCATTCACAGGGGCCCCAAAAAGGTTTATGTTGAGGTACCCCGACCTAGGCCTGGAGCAGGAGCAGAAACGGGTTGGGTTTTTGTCAGTTAAGAGTCTGGCAGTCCCATTCGCCGCACCCAGGGCGATAAAATCTATTGATGAATCGCGTCCATATAAAGAATTGTTTTTTTTCTAGTACTTTGCATAGCCTATTAATATTCAATGCCAAAAACACTTTTTCTATTGCAATTGTTTCGCAGTGATGCGCGGAAATATGCAATACGCTATAAACATTGATACAAGCAATAAATAACAAAATGTCATAATAATGTTTGACCTTATCGGACAGAAGCTAATCTGCGCGCGCGCACCTGACATTGAGCGTATCTTTCGACACACGTAGCGCCTACGCAACGAACACTGATTTCTTATGCAAATTTTTTAACGTAAAGAATTTCTTTCTTTAATTTTTTTATATTATTTTTATTATATGTGCTGGTGTAGCACTAAGTTATTTTGGTCGGCTTAAGCATATATAAGGAGGATGTTGCGCGGGAGTTAAATAATCTGCTATTTTTGTAATGGATAGCAACATATATCTGTGAATATATGTATATTTGACAAATGTCAGACTAGACTAGAGACTAATATATGACAGAACCACGATTTTGTCGTTATGCTAATGCGACACTGATAATAAATACCGTTAGTCACTCATATTGATTTTATTTAGGGTGTTAAATGCCAGCCGTTTGTCATCCTAAGAACTATTTCAAATTTGCGATGACTATCCCGGGGACACGGTGCAGCATACGGTTGCAGCACTTGCAGCACCCTGCTTAGGCAGAGCACCGCCTCAGGGAAGCGATCGGCGGTGGCGACCTCTGGCATCCAGCATTAGTCGAACACATGGTGCGGAGCGAGATGAACTGGAAAGCCGTCTCCTCTTGCAAGCAGCAGCAGTGATGCTCGCAAAGAAGGAGTTGGAGTGCGCTAGGGATCTTAGGTCTCCTCACTGTAAATGCGAGTCTTCGGATAGCCAAAAAGGCTAGTCTGCCAGAACTAGATCCGAAGAGTTCCACTTGCGCCTTGAAGAGCCAACAGACCACTGCAACAGGGCCGATGTTGCGGGACATGTGCAAAAAATAAGGTACCAGGGCTTCGGCCTGAAGCAGGAGAAGGAACGGCTTGGATTTTAGTCAGTAAGAGTCTGATACTCCCTCTCACCCCACCCCGGGCGAGATAAGTCTTGTTATGACTTTTTTCAAAAAAAGCATTGTTTCGAATTTTAATTTTTTGCCCATAAATTCCTTTCGATTTTAACGACTTTTTGCGTCTTACTTAAAATACACCTCGAAGTAAATATTCGCACAATATTAGCCCAAGGAAAAATAAAATAACACATAATGTGACCGTCTGTCTGTCTATGTTGGCAGCTCTTCAAAACTACTGTACCGATTAGTAACAAATACGATTAAAACGATAATATTTTGACGACTGTCTTCTTGTTTAAATTTATTTGTTTCACGGTTTTTCTTTTAGTTTTTATAAGCTTCACCTGTATTTGTAAATGTTATGAAAATACACAAATTCACGCCTTTATGCAGTGTTGTTTGTTGATTTGGTGGTGTCTGTACCATGTCAAGCAGGCACTGTTTATTAAAGATCATATTTTTTGCGATTCCCTCATGTCCTAAGTATAGATTGGTAATATGATTGGTCCATTGTATTTAATGGTATAAAATTCATATAAAATTGTCGGTTCTGACAGTTGTAAAGTACCTAATTGTCAAACGAATTTTGTTACCTGCTCGAAGACATGTCAATCAAATGTTAAAACTACTTATTTGTAATGCAGATATATTTCTTAATGCCACTAATTAATAAACTATTTATGATAGATTGAATGTAGTACCCAAAGTTTTCTCATGAAACGAATAATGTATAAATTCGAAAAAATAAAGACTTTTTCCTCATTGAAGTAAAAATACAGATGTTTTTGTTAATGTCACCTCGACAATTTTTGTCTAATTTTTAAACGTTGTTGCCTTTCTATGTTTATTTTTAGCGAGTAAACAGCATCGTGCCACCGAGACGTGGAACGTACAATAATATTGTCTTACATACATGCGTAGACATACGACAATTGTTCACTCGTATAGGTCGACCTAAAAATAGGACTATTTCGTGTCGAAAGAGGCTACTAAGGATTTATAGAACACGATTTATTAATACTAGAAACTTCTAGGTAGTAGGAAATATAGATATATTAACACACTAATCCACTTTAAAGTGTGGGAGAGCCATTCTGCGGCAGGGCGGCAAAGGCAATGGGTCGGCTCTACTAGAATCATACCACGGTCTCACAGACAACCGGCATCCGGCGTGGAACAACGACAACGTTGTATTTCGCTGTGTGAGTGAGGTTAACGAGGTCCAATCCCTCTCCAATCTGTCGGTATGGTCATTTGGCATCCCATCACATAGAAAAACCTCTCTAGTTCTAAATTTAAAATTGTTTATTTGATACTTTTAAAATATTGCTATTAAAGATTATAAAATAAAACTTTTTGATGGATCGTGCCATCGAAAGGTACTTCTCAGCAACAACACTGGTATCTACACAAATAAGTCTAGCCTAACCACAAAAACATGTACAAAAACAGATTCTGTAACGCTTAAAATAAAGCAGATATTACACTGTAGCACATTTATTTACAGAGCATACATTGCATTCGCGGTCAGTGGTATGTTGACTAAAAGTGCAAGTGAGTTCAACCAGCGTGTTGGCCAGACTTTAATAAGTTATGAGTCATTTGTTTAACATTGTGGCCGTTCTTTATGACGGGCCACTTATTTTCTGAAGGGATTGCGGTGCTGTACATATCCCTTTGGACTGTTTCGGTACTTTGGTCAGATGAGTCAAGATCCGGTTCGGTGGTAATATAATATTAATTTAAATAAATAAAATGATGCTGGTCGTCTCACATCGGGCACTCTGGATGTTTGATGAGGGATGGGAGACCTAAACTTAGTAATGC